AAGTTCGTGTTTGAGTGGACTTAAGGAGTTATCTCTTAATATCTGTAATTAGGATTCTGAATCTCTAAAATCACTACTAATCTAATTTTATTTTTAATGTCTCTAAAGTAGAAGGATTCTTTTTTTCGATTTGACAAATTGGAGAGTGAGAATCCCTTTCATCATCATCATATCTCCAAGTTAGGATATTCACCAAATATCTTAAGAAGAATAATTTTGTAAGTGTTAATTCTAGTGGTCGATTTCTATTGGTCAATATTATGGTCATCCTAGCTATCAAAGTCACAGACTTTAATGATGTTTCTTAATGGTCGTCCTAACTATCAATGTCAAAGACTTCAATGTTGTTTCCTATTCAACCTAACTGGATAAATACACATTATCTGTAACGTTTTATGGCTCGAACCCGGACCCGGATCCCTAGTCCGGGATCCTGATTCTCTTCTGGACTCCCACCTCGGACTTTCTGGATGCTTGTAGAATACACGTCCTACTTCATAACAAGTCTTCTTCTTTTACTCGATGGGGGTTTGGGACGTAAGGATTAGAGTAGCATATCGTGTCTCCGGATCCTCGATCCTCGCTCTCGTTTTCCGACATGTTCACGTGCATGCGTAAAACTCTAACAGCAACTAAGCGAGTTAGCAGCTCATGAAGACCAAAATGAATTGAAATCAAAGGTAATAAAGATTACTATAACAAGAAACAATGAACTGATTTTTTATTCCATAAAATGATATGCTACTTTGTAAACAAAATCATTCAAACACAAAAAATATCGTGAAAAAAAAATGGAGATGCTTTCAACAAAATTAACATTATACACATTATCAACACACTCGCCTGATCAATCAATTGAGAAAATGATGACGCTTAAAACTTGAATTCAAATGTCTAATAATAATCAAGTATCTATGAATGACGAATTTTTCATAATGAACTTGTAAAATGTTTATTATTATTGAAATGTAACAATGTGTACTACTACTACCACTACTACTACTATTACTATTATAAAACGGATTGAAATCTTAAATGATTAGAGTACAACATGCAAACAAAACATTGATGTTTACAAATCACTAAATCAATTTGTACTTGTAAATGATGAAGATTACACACAAAAAACTAATAATAATAATAATCTACTATTTCCTAATTGTTAGTAATGACAATACTTAGTGCTTAATGAATATAACATGTCGATAGGTGTCGACTACCTGGTTGTGGTCGATGAGACGATAGTAATCGATGGTTAGAAACTTTGAATGACATGGCTAAAAATCGTTTGCAATGGCGCAGGTGCATTCACTCTTTGTGTTCTCTCAAATCCTAATCTTCTGAATTCCTCACCACCTTTATCTTTTTCTTTTTAAGTCTATTTCACCAGATTCTACTTCTTGAATAATATCTTCGAACCCTAATCTCTCCGATTACTGCTAATACCTATCCTACCTTTACTACTATTTGATTTGAATTGACAATTGCGTCTCTGTGCTAATATGGTATGGCAACTTGAACTGATGTACGTACGTACGAAGTTCTACGTTGCCATTGATTGATTGATTAAGGAAGTAAATCAGAGAAATAATAACTATACTAGTACGTGAAGCCCACAGGGTTTGTTCCATCTTTCGAACAAACTAATTAACCATCTCTGCGGGAGTAATAAATCACATGCTATTTGACCTTGTCAATTAGTGGCTTATAACCTTGGTTGTTTGCATTTAAATGTGTGCCAGCCCCGCTTATTTTTTATCTAACTATAAATACTTAATTAGGCTTCATTGCACCGAGTTGAGTTAGCTCAATCGCCTTCGTCACTTCACTTCGATTTGCTGTCACGCTATGTATTCTCACGTCTGTCTGTGTAGATGATTGCATGAAATAAACTCATCGCCAAGACCATAATATGGATTCTTGCTCGAACAGGGTTCACCAAAGTATGATATACAGAAATGGAAGGAAAGATTTATTTCATAGAATACTTGAACGTTCAAACAAACTGGAGTCAAATCGCAGGCCATAAAAGTGGTGAGCCCTACTTCGAATTGAACGCGGCCCATTAAATGACTCTTAATACGTAAATATGGATGACTATCCAATCAATACGATAGCTATTCTCATCGTATGAACCATTAAATAACTACTAGATTATTACTGANA